CCTGCCTCCATCATCAGGGCGATTGCTCTTCTGACACGTCGATAAGCGTGTATCACACATCAGCCCGGAAGAAAGCCGTCTTTAGACTCGCCGAATTGTGAACTTAAAATGCCATTATTTGCGAACAACGAACTTCCAGCAAGACAAAACTCGTACGACGTAACGCGTGATTTCGTTCGGGTTCTAGGCTTATTAAGTTTCGATTGTGGTTTTCCGCTTGCTTGTTAGTCACGAAGGGCCGCCATCTTGCCTTCAGGAAAAATGATTCAAGGCGCCACTGCGGTGACCCCTCGAAACTTCATTAGTCAGTATATCACTTCCTTTTCTCATCTGACAAGTCTACGAAAAAGAAAATATATTTAAAAACTCTGTTATTCTGGGCGTTAATTGAAGAAATTGAATACGCTGAATAATATGTTTTTAATATGTTGGTAACATTCTCGGTAAAAGTTTAATTTTCGTCGCCTCCTGTAACGCAGTTATTGAATGTTCGGTTTTTATTAAAGATGAAGTTATTTTACCAATTTAACAGCTGTTAGCTTCGGAGGAGCGAATCTCCTGCGTGGAGATGTTTAATGCAATTTTATCACTTCATCGTGTAATTGTTTCTTACTTACATCAACGAAACGTAGAAAAGTTTCTTCAGATACATGTTGATCTCCGAAATAAAACTTCCTGATCATATCAGAAATTTCATGTGATTTGCTTGTATTTCTGGCCACCGGAAAGTCCTCGGGAATAGCTCGTTCGAATTCCTTGTCCAGCGAGTCCAGGGCGTATGAGTTTTGTCGCAAGACTGCAAACGAAATAGCATTTCCTGTTAAAAGTGCGTGCGCATTTGTTAAGGCTGTTCTACCTAAATACGGAAAGAAACAAAATTTGCCCTCGGCTCTGCTGAGGCCTTCGTCAGCAGAGACGAGGGGTCAGTCGCTCGTTTCTGAGGCTGAGTGAGAATCTCGTACCTGAGGAGAAGACGGGGTCCGGAGGTTTCTGACTCGTGCTTTATTAAATGACAGGCGTCTTGGAGGTCAATTAATTAAAATAACGTGTCCAAGGCTGCAATGCGTCCGTCCTCAGGTATGACGTACTATGAAGGGCGAAACACATGGAAATTGTTCCTCATGGCTGAGGACGGGAACAAATACGTCTCTGAGACGTCGTTTTAAATTACAATTTATAAGATGTATAATTTCCAGAAGATTCTGGAAAGTACTCAGATAAAGGAAGTAGAAGGCTCAAAAGATTTTGTTATGAGGTACTTCATAATGCGCCCCAGATATTATGAGGGTCTTCAAGCGAAGGAGGTCGAGATGAGCGGAGCATGTAGCAAGCATAGGAGAAACCACAAATACATACAACATTTTGGGAGGAACAACTTGAAGAAGATACTTCTTGCACAGACACAGGCACAAATATTTTATGAAGAAATGGTGCGTGGGTTCGGACTGGATTCATCTGGCTCAGTATACGAACCACTTACAGCATTTTGTGCATCTCCGGGTTCTTGACCAGGTGAGCGACTGTTAACTTGTCAAGAAGTTTTCTCCTTTCTGGAGTTTATTAGTTCCAAGCTGTGTTCATTTCTGTCTGAAAATTGGATAACTGTAAATTTGCTTTTCATTGTGAAATTACCAAATCTGCCTTGAGATAATTTTACGCACGTAATCTGCATTCATTGTGTTCAGAGAACTGCAGCACAGTTTCAGAATTATCGTGATTGTGGAAAAAAGAACAAGAAGTTATATATACAGTAGATACCGGTTATTTGGGACGTGTCTTAAATCTTAAAGAACAAATCTTTTTAACTCTTTACGTGGAGTCATTTGAGTAAAAATTTCCTTGGATATTATCCATCGTCTAGTAAAATATAAAATGTAAAACGACGTTTCGGAGATGGGACTCTATCTCCGTCTTCAGGTTTCTACACAGTTGGGCCCACTAGATAGAGCTAATCCCTATCTCCGGACGTGGAACTTAGCATAATTGGGGCCGCCGCTTAATTGGGCCAAAGCGTTCTAGTCCCGATGTGTCCCAATTAACTGGAATCCACTGTATATATGTATATATATATATATATATATCCTCTGGTACACACTGAGTACATTGTCGGTGTACAAACTGATGACTCTCCTTGCCACCGCGCGCACATTGGCTCTGAAGTCAACCCACCGTTCTATCCACTGGGTACCCGAGACGTTTCCTGGTGTAAAGGCGGGTGGAGCGTGTATCTCTTGCTACTGACATTCCACTAATGCCGGGGTTAAGAATATGCGGAGGTATTCCTCCGCTTTCCATACGCGGCAATGCCTTTCTGCTTAATTCATTACATAGAGAATTTAACCTTCGCGTACAGCGTGCTTTCTACCACTGCTAGTAGAAACATTAGTTAAGAGTAAGACAGAAGTAAGAGAGTCTCTCGACTTACTGTAGCGAGCCAACAAGCCTTCGAGAGAAGTGACCCCTGCAATCAGAGGCACATCTGCAAATTTCCCGGAGTCCAGCATTTCTCTCGGAGGAGCCGGAAGAAATATTTCTTCTTCGCCGGACTCGGTGTCGGTCGTGGGCAGGAACGGGAATCCGAAGAGCAACGGCCTTTCCTGGAGTTTTAACACCAACAGACGCAAATATTACTGGCTTTGCACGAAGGACAACAATTATCACCAACAGACGCAAATATTACTGGCTTTTGCACGAAGGACAACAATAATCGTGACTCGCCTTGAAGGAAATGCACGACAAATGTCTGTTCAATCTACGAGACAACAAACTCCAATAAATTTACATATTTTAACGCTCTCTTAATTATTTAATTATTTTCCCTGATAATATACAACTCTTCGTCCATTTTAAGAAACATCAACACAATTAAATCATACTTAAAGCTCACACAATCGACTTCATTTTAGAAATAAAACTCGCCGAATATGACTCAACAACATCGAGACATATAGATCATTACTTGGCAGTGTCTACATATTTCGATATCTGTACGACTGTTGTCTGGCCAGAAACAAATTCAGCGTTATATTTTCGTTATCACTTTCCCACGCCGGCCGAATTCGCCAGCTAAAATTGATGGGCAAATTGCGCTTGAGGCTGAAGGAAAACAAGATTCTGGAACAGCGCAAATAAAAGACTTGCAAAAGCATTTGCACCAAAGGGACTTGAAAGTCTAAATAAATGTCAACTTCATGCCGTATTTATTTAAGATGGAGGCCCGAACACCTTAGAGTTTGTGCTGTGTTGAAGTCTAACACGTGACGCCTTTCTATGGAGACAAAAAGACGTAAATGTCTTTCAGCGCATCATGAAAGAAAAAATGTAAAGACACGTCGCGAAAAATGGACCAAAAGGAAAAGTTAAAAGTTTGTGCGAACGTTAGGCTGGCGTATATTTTGCATAAATAGTGCCTGCAGAAGATCGTTGCTTCAGAAACTAGCGGCAGATTGCAAGGCTTACCTCTGGAGTGAGAACTTCGTGAGAAACCTCCGTTAGACGCGTTGTGTTGACACTCCTGAGGTGCTCCAACAGTTCCCGGGGGTCGTCAGTTTTCACACCAAGCTTCTCGCCCAATTTAAATGCCATTCGCTTGGAAGAATTCGTGAAGGCCCAGAAATTTAAAACGGAGCCACTCTGTGCAATTGCACGGTGAAACAACCCTGAAAATATTAAGCGGAATTTTGCAGGCCTGCGCTCTGTGAGGTTTCTCAGCACAACCAAATGATTCAAGTATGTGATATCTGAGGTTGAATGTCGTTCTCTGCGCTTCCGAGCTTACTAGTTTCAGGGCAGATTTAATATAACTTTTCGTTATATTTCATTAGCACTCAATCAATTCGACTATTTTAAGTGTTTGTATCAGCAACGATGCATCAGTAAGTGTACTTAGAATTTGCCTACCTTTAGACATGGGAGACAGCATGTGATACTGAACGCAGGCACCTCCAGCGCTGTGTCCGAAGATGGTGACGTTGCCAGGATCCCCTCCAAACCGCGCAATGTTCTCTGAACCCAGCGCAGGGCCATCGTCTGATCCTTCAGACCGGCGTTTCCAGGAACCTCCTCATTTTCTAAGCTCAAGAACCCTGCGTGTGGAAAAGCAGTTTACGTCGTAAAACATGAGCCGTCTCTGAAACCAGAACCAGGGATGGTTCGAATACTGAGTCACCAATTTTATCATCACAATCGTCAAGCCGTCTAAGAGTTGTTGTAGATCTAGCATTTTTAATTATTCGTCTCACGCATTTCGTTTCAACGGCTGTAATCCTGGTTCTGATGTTGCATTTGTTTTTCGTTCAATTAACGCTGCTTAATGAACTGCGCAGATTATAGATGGCGTTAAAGTATGATTACGTATAAATAATCGAAGGAGGGCGAATAATGAAGTGGCTGAGCTCAGTCAGTGTAGACGATCTCTGGGCCGACCTAGAATATGCTGTGTGGGAAGAAAAATCTTCGCCAATGCACAGCGACGTTCGGTAAGCATGATGGCTAAAATGGCAGCGTTCTGACACTAGACGCATCCCAATGATGTCCAGAGGGCAAAACTTTACTTCCCGGAATTCATATTATTGTTTATCACAACTTATTTCATCTTGGCGAGATTTCAGGTTCTGAAAAATTGCGTATGTAAAGATTTCTGTCTTCTTTGTCGTTGCATTTACTTGCCTGATGATGGAGGCAGCAATGACCTCTGAAACGTCGGTGAACGTCTGCCAGACTACACGGCGCTACAGCCCAGAAGACAGCCATCTTGCACGCACATTGCTATTAAAAGTGTAAGCGAAATGAAATCCGTTCCTCACACAACACAGGGTTTCCAAGCGTCGAGTATCCCCAGGATCGAGACTTGCCCCACAACAGCGGCTGACTAAGAATTTTCGTCCACTCTTACCTGATGACGAGACAGGGACAGTTTCCGAAATTTCGGATTTGTAAACACTTCAGACGATCGTCTGAGTTAAAATTACGTTTATGATAACCCAACGTCAATAGAAAATCAGATATAAGTTGGAATAACTATAATAGTTTGTCTAACCTTGTACACCTAAGCGATAGTTGATGGTAACCAAGACAACTCCTTCAACGACCAAGTAGTCCGCGCCGTACAAACTAGTGGTTGAAGACCCGAAGTAAAAGGCCCCACCGTGAATGAACACCATCACAGGCCTGAGAATTTCGGCTGTGTCATGAGGTAACTGGAACAGGAAAAGAGCATTACGAAAAAACCAGAGAACAATTATTGCGTTATTTGCCAATACTCAATTTAATGTCGAACTTCTGCATCAAACGCCGATTGCTTTCTTAGCCAGGACGTGCAGCCTCGTAAAACCGCATTTCGCTCAGTCTGACAGCCTTAATCGTGCTTTTACAAACGAGTTAGAGCTTCAGTTAAAAGGTTAGCCGCGAGGTGTCACGTGCTGCTACCAACAAGCGAGACACGTGCGCCTCGAAACAACTTCAGCTTTCGACCGAATTGAAGAAGCGCGACTCGATTTAACATAAACGGAGTCACATTGAAGCAATCAAACGAGCGGCATCAGATATTAAGAGGTTAATGAGTTCTCTTTTAACCACTTTTATGGAAGAGTGCAGTGAATTCGATGTCTTTGAGCTTCTAATCTAATGTCCCGTTTGTTTACATTAACGCAGTGATTTCTGTCTAATTAACTTTAAAGGGAAAAGTTTTGTTGTACGTGATTTAGTTTGATATTTCAAATACGCGATTCAATTTCCTTCAATCATTCTGCGTAGTTTTGTGAGAATAAATTAAAACAAAGTTTATACAAGATGACGACCACAGCCGGTTTTGGGCATCTTGAGCACTGGGATTGTGGGTTCGCATCCAACTCGCGTTTCTGACTGCTGTCTCGTGCAAGTGGACATCTTCCCCTTGTCAAAGGAGTCCTGCCGAGTGGCTTCAAGGATTCGCACTTGCTTCTGAATTGGAATACGTCAGAAGACGCGCACCGGATAAACTGGATAAGCGGAAATTCTATAAAAGATGATTACTGTGCCTATTAAATGCATTTTCTGTTTTCCGTTTTGCGCAGACGCTGTAGAATTTCGAAGCACGGCTCACCTTTGGCGTGAAGACGTTGAGAAAGAGACAGTCGTCCT